GTGGATATGAGTTGGTATCAGCTCGATGGCACCTAACAACAACAATTGTGAACTAATGGAAAATGGAAATGATATGCTTTACCTAGGCCAGAAAGTCATTTAAGGTGCTTTTTCTCTTTCTTAAATAATTTGTGGTACTAAGCCCAAAGTGTTCATTGAAATTAAAACTACCTATTCCTGCCTTCAATTGATAATTCCCCATAGGATAGAGTTCTAATTGAGCTTTGCATTTCGCTTAAAGTTATTAAAGTATAACATCTGAAGGCAGTGCCAGCAGTCCTTTCCATTTAGACTCAGCTAATTTAGCTTTCTCAGAAGTTATGAATTCAGAAGATACCTCACATTTGTAACCCTTTTGAGTGTGTGCTGTAAATTCTACATAAAAAAATGGACAAAGTGGTCTTCAAACAAAATTGTCTCCAGTCTTACCTGCTGTTACTCAGCTCATCTGGATGGTCATGAAAGAACACTAAGTTCTTCCCTAACTAACTGATAGTATGAAAAGTGTCCACTTACATCACTGCAATAAGTTATTACAATACTTCTTACAGACACTTGAACGTTGTTGACTTTCATCTTAAAAAAAGGCCCATTAATGTAACTTTGAAAATTATACCTAAATGGATTAGATCAAATAACATGATCTTGACATTTTCTTCATTTCTAAGATTTTGAGAATAAACTAGGAATCTATCTGACTTGTGTCTGCTTGAAGAAAGCCTATAATTCTAAGTTGAAGTGAGAAAAAAATACAGATGACTCCGTATGTTCCAAATAGAGTTGAGTGGCCTCAGTATTTGGGCTTTATGAAAGGTTTAAAGGGTTATTCGGCACTCCCTCTATCATGCCAAATTTCTGTTTGGGTATCTTTGACTTGCTGATATGATCTATAATGCAAAAATTTCTTGTTTTTCTGAAATCAACCACATGATTGAATTTTTCAGGATGCTGAATGTTTTATTAAGTCTGTGACAGTCAGTGGCTAATTCTGCTTTTCACTCCATTTGTGGGTAATTTAGAAACACTGTTGTATGATGCATGACATTTCAAAGTAGCAGACAACTTTGTGCATCTGGTAAATTGTAACTTAGAGGGGCTTCATGCATATTGAAAGAAACATTTCATTTATCAGTTTAACTAAATTAATATTTCACATTCTTTCCTTTCATAGGCTGCTAAAATGGCAAATTACGCCAAGTTTCAGAAAATGTGTGATCTCCTATTTGTTATGTTTGCCATGGTTTTTTTAACAACGCGGCTTGCTGTAAACCCTCTCTGGTGAGTACGCAGTCTACTTTCCCAATAGGCTTTGGGAACTCTATCTTTTTGAACTCCATACCAAATATTTAGCAAGAGTTTTAAAGAAAGGGAGTGTTGTTGTTGTTGTTGTCAAGTGCCATCGAGTCGGAAC